ACGCTTCGCGCGGGAGGGGGGGGGACGAATTTAGACAAGGATTAAGAGTCGAGAGCGGTACAACGAATCGTCTTCTTTCTCTAATGATTTAATGACACTTAAAAGCTTCCGCGCTTCGCGCTGGAGGAGGGAGCCTGAATTGAGACGAGGATTAAGAGTCGAGAACTCTACAGCGAATCGTCTTGTTTCTTTAATGATTTAATGAAACGTTTAAGCTTCCGCGCTTCGCGCAGGAGGGGAGGGGGGAACTGAATTCAGACAAGGATTAAGAGTCGAGAACGGTACAGCGAATCATCTTCTTTCTCTCATAATCTTATGAAACGTCAAAAATTCCGCGCTTTGCGCGGTAGGGGAAAAACTGAATTCAGACTAGGATTCAGAGTCGAGAAAGGTAATACGAATCGTCTTGTTTCTCTAATGATTTAATGAAATGTAAAAGCTTCCGCGCTTCGCGCGGGATTGGGGGGGGGGAACTAAATTCAGACGAGGATTATTTTCGAGAACGGTACAACGAATCGTCTTCTTTCTCTAATGATTTTAATGAAACTTAAAAGCTTCAGCGCTTCGCGCGGGAGGGGGGGGGGGGGGCCTGAATTCAGATGAGGATTTAGAGTCGAGAACTGTACGACGAATCGACTTTTTTCTCTAATGGTTTAATGAATCGTAAAAGCTCCCGCGCCTTTGCGCGGGCGGGGAAAAACTGAATTTAGACGAGGATTATTTTCGAAAACGGTACAACGAAACGTCTTCTTTATCTAATAATTCAATGAAACGTCAAGAGGGAGGGGGAACTCGCCCCTCCCTGCACCCACCCCCCCCCCCTCTCCCCGCATTACGTCACTGCTGGTCACCATTACGTACCAATATTTGGCTCGCATAATTTCAAATTTGGGCCCCCCCCCCTAAGAAATCCTGGATCCGCGCCTGAGCACACCATCCAAACAAAACCCAAGAGAGGGAAACTGCTCCTTTTTATCAATGACTGAAAATGCTTACGCAGTCGTTAAAACAGCTGAATGTTCTCATTAAGATGCACATAATCAGAAGGCGGCGACTATGATTGGATCAAAGAAAGAATCACGTTGAATGTCCATCCGTATTAAGTCCATGGTCTTGTTGATTTTCACGACCGTTCTCTGCCATAATAGCGTTCGTTCCCTAAACTCGACGGAAGAGTTGTATCGCCGTACAATAGGCCAATTTCGTAATGTAACCAAATGAATGCATAAGCGTAAGTGCCTCGTTACAAATTATTTCATTCACCTGATAAGAATAATAGTATTTCAATAGACAGAATCCGAACTGCATACATTATTTGATCTCGGCTGAGTAAATTCTCCCGTCCTCAGAGGCGGCGGAGCGACTTCCAAAGTGGGGGGAGCACCAACAAAAAAGGGCACTTTCTGGGGAAAAAGGGCACCTACAAAGAGAAATCTCAAAGCGAAAATAAACAATTTTTAGACATTGGTATATATACCCCTAAAATTTGATTACATTATCAGGGATGGTTTCAATGTTTGTTTCTCTTTATACATCGTATAAAATATTGCTTTTCAAAGCTTCATCCTTGCAGTTGGGTGTGATGGTCGAAAAAAATCATTTGCGAGCGAGGAAAAATATAAGATTTGTGAGGTCATAGTGCGAAAACTACATCTTATAAGGAGGAAAAACCAATCCTCATCGGGTTATAAATAAGCAGATTTTCATAACAGCAAACTGAAAAGACCTTTGATAAGTAACATATAATTATAACATCTATAAATGTGAGCGAGCGTAGCGAGCGAGCTTTGGGAGATATTGCTCTTAGGCTACGTTTATGCTTGATTTTGAAGGTAGAATGAGCGATCTGAAACGCACATCGTAAACGCTCATCGTAATCGCAGTTCCACGGTGTACTATGCTTAATTTTCTCTGGCTCCTCCAGGCAATTCTCTCTGTGTGGCCTTAATTGGCCTTGCAGCTGGATTCGCAACCTGCACTTTACATGCTACGTAGACCCACTAGAGGTCAGTGCGTTGACCCCATTTAAACGCGATTACAAATTGTAAACGCATCTTTTTGTGAGTTTACGATCGGCGATCGGGATCGCCGTTTTTCGGTGATTCTACAAAAGTGAGCATGGGCGCAACCGTGTTTTAAACTAAACGCGTAACAGATGCCTAATTCTGGCCAGAAAAAGTTAAGCATGAACAATTAAGCCCTTGAAATTAGGGGCACGTTTAATGATGAGAGGAAAGGGGGACACTTATCGAAAGGATAAGACACTTATTAGAAAATAAAAGGAGCACGTGTCAAAGTACAAAGGGTTATTATCAGAGGTGAAAATGGGGCACTCACCAGAGATGAAAAGGCACTTATGAGAATGGAAATTGGGCACTTATCGCACCTGAAAAGGGGCAAATACCATATATAAAAGAGGCACTTATGAAAATGAAAAAGGGGCACTAATAATAAAGGGAAATGTGCATTTGTTGAAAGAAAAGGAGCACCGATCAGATTTTGATAGGGGCATTTATTGGAGGTGAAAGGGGGCTTTTATGAAAAGCAGAAATTATGAAGGAAAAAGAGCATTTATTAGGAAGGAAAAGGGGCACGTGTCAAAATAAAAGGGGGTGTTATTAGAGATGAAAAGAGCACTTATCAGGAGGAAAAGGGGGCACTTAATTGTCAAAATAAAACGATTGTCTCTCAGAATTGAATAGGGTCATTTACCAGACATGAAAAGGAGCACTAGTAAAATGAAAAAGGACTATTTTCATAGGTGAAAAGGGGCATTTATGAAAAAGCGAAGGGCTCTTTGTTAAATGGGGGCACTTATCATAAGGAAAAGGGGCACTTATTAGAAAGGAAAGGGGGCACATTTGAAAATATAAGGTGCGCTTATCCGAGTTAAAAAGAGGTAGTTATTAAAAGGGAAAGGGGCACTTCTTACAAAGGAAAAGGGCCAATTGTCAAAGTGAAGGAGGCGCTTAACAAAAGTGAAAAGGGGCGCTTCTCGTATCCGAAAAGAGGCACTTACTAGAGATTAAAAAGGGCACTTATGAGAATGGAAAATAGAAACTTATTGCAAAGGAAACTGGGAACTTGTCTGGGAAAAGAGGTACGTGTCAAAATAAAAGGGGCACATATCAGAGGTGGAAAGGAGAGGGGGCACTTTTACAAATTAACAGGGGCACATATCAAAGTAATAGGGGCACTTTTTATGTAAAAAGGGGGCTTCTTACAAAGTTAAAGGGGCACTTTTCCCATGGAAAAAGGGGCACTTTTGGGTACTTGAAAAAGTGGGGCCCCCCTGCCCCCCCCCCCCCCCCTGGGTCCGCCGCCTCTGCCTAAACCCCTAAGCTTCTTGGGGCTCCGCCCCCTGGGTCCTGCCAGTGTCACAAATAAGATATAAAAATATGCTCATCTGACCATAATTTATTGCCCAAAACCCCTGAGATTCCAGAGGCTCCGCCCCCTGGACCCCACCCAGAGCCCTAAGGCGGGCACCTGGATGCTCATCTGACCATGATCTATTGCCTAGAACCCCTGAGCCTTCGTGGGGCTCTGCCCCCTGGATCCCACTCCAATTTGTGACCTGCCAGTGTCACAAATAAGTTGTAAAATATGCTCATCTGACAGTAATTTAATGTATATAACCCCTGAGCTTCTGGGGGCTCCCCTCTCTGCCCCCCCCCCCCCCCGCAAAAAAGAGAGAAGAAAGGAAAAGAAGGGAAAGGGAAAGAAAGAAAAGGAAGAAGAAAAGAAAAGGGGGAAGAAGGAGTTCGGGGGGCCGAAAGGGCCTTGCCTCCCAGGTTGTTGCCCCCCCCCCCCCAATCAAAAAAATAAGAGAGAAGGAAGGGGAAAGAAAAAAGGAAAAGAGAAGATACTGGCGTACTAATAGGAGGGGGGGGGGGGACTTGGGGGAAATCAAATTCAAACGTGGTTTATTTCTAATTCCATAACAGTGGATTACAAATAATGCTGAAATGACATAATTTCCTGACTTTTTAGAAAATCATATTTTTTATGCGTTTGTTGGAAAATGGCGAATTCCTAAATTTACAGCCAAGCAAGAAATATGATTCTTGAGATTCCTACATGTCAGGGCCCGAGGAACGGCAGGGATCGGGAACCTCGAGGTCCCACCTCCCCCCCCCCCCCCCCCCCCATGATGACTGTTCATTCAGAGAAATAAAAAAGAAAGAGAGCAAGAAAGAAAGAATAGTTAATTGCCAGTGTCAAAAAATAATGAGGCATCAAAATATGCTCATCTGACCAAGATTAAATGCCTAAAACCCCTTAGCTTCCGGGGGCTCTGCCCCCTGGATTCCACCTTGGGTCCTAAGGCGGGCCCTTAGAAGCTCTTCTGACAGTAATTTATTGCCCAAAACCCCTGATTTTTGGGGACGTAGGAAGAAAAAGGAGAACATTAAGAGTAGAAAACGGTACAACGAATCGTCTTGTTTCTCTAATGATTTAATGAAACGTAAAAATCTCGCGGGAGGGGGGAAACCTAAATTCAGACGAGTATTATTTTCGAGAACAGTAAAACAACAAATCGTTTTCTTTCTCTAATGATTTAATGAATCGTAAAAGCTTCCGCGCTTTGCGCGGGAGGGGGAAAACTGAATTCAGACGAGGATTAAGAGTCGAGAACTGTACAACGAATCGTGTTCCCCTCTATCTCTCAACCATGATAACTCTTTGTTCAAGACCTAAATCCCAAATTAAACTATGGTCTATTCTTGAATATATTGCACACTTCAAATCAACGCCCCCCCCCCCCCAAAAAAAAAACAAAACATTCTCCCCTCCCTCTCTCTCTCCATTCCTCTCTCACCCTCTTTTCTTTTTTCTATTCCACCTCCTTCTTCCCCTTTCTCTTATTACACCTTTTACCCATTACCAACCATTATTGGCCAATCAAAGGGGAGGCAATCTTATCCTACCCCCCCCCCCCCCCTTGGCACTCCTATACCATGACACTTTGACAAATACAATACTAAGAAACTGGACCATAGGATTATACAATAAGATCAACAGGTCTTTTAATCTTTTGAAAAACTGATTTTTATATCAAAATGTAGACATTTTTTCCCTTTTCCTTTGTTTAATGTCATGTTTAGATACAAAATTGTAACACTGAAATGTCTCTATTCTGCTGCATGCACATTATAATCATAACCAGACTATTTTATTGCTTTATGCAGATATTTTTTTTCACACACCCTTTACCTTTATTTTTTATATGACAATGGCATTGGATCATAGTCTGATTATCTTGTATCATGTGATTATTATAAACATACTATCTCATCCACTTAGTTGGTTTTACATTCCACCCAAGAATGCCCTTCAGTTTCAAATAATTTAGTAACAGAGATCCTATTAGGTGGGAAATACACACATTCAACCTCAATATATGTAGATAAATTAAAACCAATATCATTACTGTTATGATACTAGAAAACTATTATTACAAGAATGCAGTATAGACATGTCAACAAACACAGTGATATACAGTAGGCTTGCGGATGCACCATGTGAGAGAGAGGGAGGATTGAGGTGTCCTGAAAAGGACTCTCGGTAAACACAGTGATGTATTACCTAAAGACTCATCGCATCATCAGACGTACATGTAGGCTATAGTTTACCCTCTCTCAAATGCAATGGTAATCATTAATAAGGGTATAATTCAGTCAGTGACAAGCAGTGTTTACATCAAGAGCTGCCTTTGAATATTCAGTGTTGACCTCTGCTTTTTTTTTTGGTCTCTTAACACCAAAAATAAGCGTGAAATTACAGGCGATATTACCCAATAATTGCAAAATGACACATACAATTTATTTATTTCTTGTGTAGCCCTCGATTTCATCTAATGAATTTGTGAAGTTGTGACTTGTTAAAGACTATTCTGTACTACATTTTAGTTTGTTAATTGAAATCAACACTATCTTTTCTTACTTTTCATACATTTTAAAATACAGTTACCAAACCTTAAAATGTAACAATCACCTGAAAAAAAATAGTATGTGTACAGCTAGAATGTATGAAATCAACCTCAAGCAAATTACTTGAAGAAAATATAGGATACCCACCCTGTGAAAGGAGCCCAATATGGACTTGGGTTCTGTATGCAATCTAGCCCAATATGGACTTGGGTTCTGTATGCAATCTAGCCCAATATGGACTTGGGTTCTGTATGCAATCTAGCCCAATATAGACTTGGGTTCTGTATGCAATCTAGCCCACGATGGACTTGGGTTCTGTATGCAATCTATTCTAGGCAAGTGGGTACTATTGCGTTGACTACAATACTCAAGTCATTTTAATGTTTATACTAAGAGTGTATTCAAGCTGCAATGTCTCTTTGTAGAAGTAATATTCAAAGCTCATACCTTAATTTGAATACAGTAACATTATTTAGAGTGTTGGTTGTTGGAACACATTTTGCATATCTTGCTGCACCACCCCTACACATATTTTCAGGTACTGAAGGTGCCAAAAGTAGGTATATGAAAAACTCTTCCATCATTTCAACAAGCAACAAATTAAGACTTTCCCAGTGTGAAGATCAAAAGAGAATCGAAAAGACTTCAAAGTACACGCAATATATTCCAAGTATTTCATCCCCGGCACTGACCTTCTCCATCATGCTCAGACCCTGTACAAATAAGTAAAGAATAAACAACAAAAATATGACTATCAAATGCACAAAATAATAACATGCCTCAAGTTTCTTGTCAAATACAAATAGTCAGTGAAAATAATAGTGCAGATCAGAGCTTCTAAAGCTTTAAACAAGGGATATAATTTGAAGTTAAATTTTGTATGGCATGCATTCTTAGTCCAAAATTGCTTAGAAATTCAACCAACACAGACAAGATGGGTCTGGTGTTAACTGTACTACATTTTATATCATTACATCATATAAAGAAATAAAGAGGAGAGCAAAACAATATTATACAAATAATGAATGGTTATGACAATTCTATTCAACGAGGCGTCAGCCGAGTTGAATAGAATTAACGTTAATCTTTCAACGAATGAAAATATTCGCACTATTTGAACCAATGAAAAACATTCATTATTTGTTTTATACAACATCGAAGAATATCTAATAGAATGATAAGCAACAAATTATGCTTTACTCCTCATATTTAAGATAAATTAAAGTTGGAGTCAAGCATTCTCGATTACATTCAGATTGCCTTCGCGTCAGATACACGCAGGGATACGCGCACGGCAGAAAGGTACGCAGTCTGCATATAACCAAAAATGCACGGCGAATATATCCAAAAATGCACGCCCGTGCAATAGAAAATCTATTGAATATCATGTGACCAACAATCCTCCAATCAAATAACAAGGATCCACGTAGGTGTTGTATAAACCAGTATATATTTGTCAACATTACAAAGGAATAATTATTGGCTAAAATCAGTAACAGAGTGGCAGACTTTGTATTCATCCACAAAATCTTAGCAAATACAGAATACATGATATCTAAAGATATTAATAGTGTGTACTATAAAAGAAATAAAGCAAGAAAATTGTGTTAGTTTACCTATGTTTTAACACAGGGCAATTTAAGATATGTAGTTTTTTTCTTTGCCAATAAATTACACAAATACATACAGTGACATTGGATGTAATCATAACATCAAACGTATTAGCTAAGATGTATCAGAGGTGTGGCTTGTCATTATTCATAACTGCCCCCCCCCCCCCCCCCCTCCCAAAAGAAATTAATAACTGTATGACTTATCTTGTTTTCCTCTCTTGGTATGATATTCTAATTATTGGCCTCTGTGACCTTATAGAAATCCCAAGTAGAGTTAATATAGCCCCCCCCCCCCCAAAAAAAAGGGGGGGGGGGTCATTTCTTTGTGTTTTGAGTTGTTACCTCCTGAAGTAAAAGCAATTAGAAGTGACATGTGCTATCAATGCTATTATGTACCAAGGCGCTAAAGGAAGATTTAAAACAAATACGCAGCTTTGTGTGCATGCCCGGCCACTATGAAGTACTGTGAGATTAGTTCATCTCACATGAATTAACTCTTTCACTGTGACTTACTGTATAAAATGTAAATACACATATATTAAGTGATTGAAGGATCCATTCTACTCACATGTATTTGCTCCCTGTATTAAACTTGAGATGGAACATGAAAGAGTTGAACAAGGCCAGATTCTCCACCAGCTAGTAACCATCTACATGATGCTTTGTTAGGGTTCCATTGCAACTGTGTACAAAATTGGTTGCATTTTACAAATCTATGTAATGCAAATCTTGTGAGAGATGTCAATTTCATTACACGAAGTGTTCCATCCAAATAGACTTATATAAACAAAATAGTGTAAATAAATAAGGCATGTATATACATCAGCAACTTAACCCTGCCTATTGGAGCCAGGGGTGGGGGGAGGGGGGGTCCTGATTTCATTATAATTGACTTGTTGACATTCAAAATTCTAATTTTTTACACCCCCAAATCTGATCAATTTGTCTCACTGTGATGATGCAAACTAATTGGTATTGGTGTTTTAATCACTATAGTTCATGGCTCAAATCATACTCGATAAATGTACATTGGGATAACAGGGCTAAAACACAGAGATTTCATGGAAATAGACTCTTATGACCTTTGAATTTTCACCCACATGTATTTACCCCCCAAATCAGTTTGTCTTCCAATGGTACTCTAACTCTATTACCAGGTTTGACACCTATACCTCTTGTGGTTCTTGGGATATCACGATAATCAAGTTAATACCTATAATTTTCATAAATTGACCTCTTTGCCCTTAGACCTACTTACTCCAAAATCTAAGCAGAGTGTCTTTCTATGGTGACAGGGGCGGATCCAGGAATTTCTTACCGGGGGGGGGGGGGGGGGGGGGGGGGGGGGGGGGGGGGGAATCAGTATATTTATATTTTTTTGGTCCCAAAAAAAATTGCATCGACTCAGCCAGCCACTGAATAAGCAGGGGGGGGGGGGGGGGGTAAGAGGACATATATATATATAAATATGTATATATATATATATTTTTGGTCCCAAAAATTAAAAAATTTCAGCGGGGGGGGGGGGGAGGTAGTTAATTTTTTTATTTTTTTTGGTCGGGGGGGGGCATGTGCCCCCTGTGCCCCCCCCCCCTGGATCCGTCTCTGGGTGATACATACTATCACTAAGTTTGAAGCTCATACCTTAAGTGGTTTAGAGAAATCGCAATAACGATAATGCGGGATGGACAGACAGCCGGATGGACAGTCTGAAAACAGGCATAAAACTATATATCAGCAAGAACAGATATTTAAAACATGTACCTTGTAAATGGCATCCATGTTGCTAAGTACTGATGAAGCATGGTTTATACATGGGCTCCGGACTGACACCATCTGTGATGAAAAACAATCAGAAAGAAAGGAAGGGTAATTGACGTGCTATATTTAATCATTTCTTTCAAGTATTTGATTAAAAGAATTCTCCAAAAAAAATGAAAACAGAACCGGATTACTAACCTTAATTCGCTGCTTAGAAGAGATTGGCAATCTTTTAGGCATCTCACAGAGTTCAATCTTGCCTGAAATATCTGTTGCTACGAGATAGTTCAACCATTCTGAGTATGTCACATCCTGAAAAGAGATAAAAATGAATACTAGGTACAAGCATTTTCTTGTGAAGGGTCATTTCAAAAATTGCTTTATCATAACCATTGACCCTAGGAAGACCGCTGTATTGCATGATATGGCAAATTAGAATCAGTACTTCTATGTGGAGGCATTAAGGGGGGAGGTCTCACAAAGACACAATGGAATCAGTACTTCTATGTGGAGGCATTAAGGGGGGAAATATTACAAAGGCAAATTAGAATCAGTACTTCTATGTGGAGGCATTAAGGGGGGAAATATTACAAAGGCAAATTAGAATCAGTACTTCTATGTGGAGGCATTAAGGGGGGAGGTCTTACAAAGACACAATGGAATCAGTACTTCTATGTGGAGGCATTAAGGGGGGAGGTCTTACAAAGACACAATGGAATCAGTACTTCTATGTGGAGGCATTAAGGGGGGAAATATTACAAAGGCAAATTAGAATCAGTACTTCTATGTGGAGGCATTAAGGGGGGAAATATAACAAAGACACAATAGAGCAATGACTTACCAAGACATGGTTCTGTTGACAATAGATTGGAATTGGTGGAGTAGAGATGGAGGAGACATCTTGAAGAATGCTACAAATATCAACAAAAAAGATCTTTAAACTTCAATCATTTCTATCATCATATCATCACTCATTTATTCAAGTTTATCAGCATAAAGCAAACAATTTCTATTTGGTACACATTGCTATTTTTGTTTGAGTGAAACATATCATTCAACCAAATAATAAACAATTTAAGGGAATTTAACTCAATAATAATCTTTCACTGGTTTGGATGAAATTCTTGTTTGATTGTACATATTGCATGCACCCTTCCACATATGTCAGGGTTAAATGTAATATATAATAACACTGGACAGAATAAAGTTAACCCAAGCTTAACAAAATTCCTGTTATTCCTGTTATTCCTGTCTACCAATCACAATGTGTCATTCAATTTAGTCCCAGTTACACAAACTGTCTACAAGTCTCACTAGTAAACCTCAAACATATTACTCATCACTTTGTGTACAAGACTTTTTTTTTTTACTATAGTACAATTAGGTCAATATAATAATAATTCTTACATTTTCTGAATGTGTCCATCCTCGACAGTAAGAAGTGCACTATAGTGAGACAGCCATTGACAAGTCTGTAGAGCATTAGGATACATCTGACTCAACACAGGAATGCCAGGTTCATGAATATCCCAGAAATGCAACATTCTATTACGACCACTGCTACACATCAAATTGTTATCTATAACCAAACACAAATGCTAAATATTTCATAAAGGTTTAATTCAAGCTCAAAATTTTTGATTTTGTAGGAGGACATAGCATAAATATCCCTCCATCTATGACCTCCAGATTCATCAACGAATTACGTATAGAATTCTGTATGAAGATAAATATCATAAGCTGTATTCAGATCACCGCTACTCAGTACTTCCATACTCTTTCTTCCTTTGAATGTTCATGATTTGTTTATTTATTTGTTTTGTAAATATTTTCATCCTGTTGATGACTCCACCAGGTCCACTGAATCCATAAAAGTGAAAATATAAAGGAAAGATATACTTCTCAATTTATTTATACTTTTATGACACTATGACCTTTGCCCTCTGACCTATTAAACCCTGTATCTTATCTGTTCATCTTCTGATAATTATGCCTTTTTGATGAATATTTGATTACAATCTACCAAAGGGTTTCTAAGTTATTATGGTAACACAATATTTTATAACATTTTTACATTACATGACCCTGTAAACTGTGTTCTTCAGTGACCTAAAATCAATCCGGTTAATTTTCTAGCTAATACACACTTGAGCCAAGTTAGAGCCAAGAAATTAGAATGAAAACACTTATGCTCAAGTTACTACTGTAACTAGATATTTCCAAATTTTGTTCACCTTTATTACCAGTTACCTATTGTATCTGAGCTTTTGAACCATATCAATAATTTAAAATCCATATTAAAATGTTGTTGAATTTGATGGAAATCTTTGCATTAATTCTTAATCCAAAGAGTAAAACCTACCAGCAGGGGACCAAGAAATGGTCAAAACGGGACCAGTATGTGCAGTAAAAACTTGGGTTGGAAGAAGAGTGATAGAGCCATCTGTGTTAGATTGTCTGATCGGGGTAGATGACTGTACACTTACATTCCAAATAGCAATCAAGCCTGAAAAAAGAAGGGCACACAAATATATATTCATGAAGTATTACGTCTGCATGCACAATGTGTAATGGAATCACTGAAGAATAATGAATGCTTTTGATTGAGAATATGTAAGAGTTGATTCTTGAAGTCAAACACATCAATCAACGAAGGACGAAGGACCAATAGTATACAAATAAACACTGCTTTGAATGACGCTAGTTAAATCACTTGGACTGGGTTGACTGTGATGCAGTGCTAAAGTAGGCCTACCATTGATTTATCTGATGTCTCTTTGAACACCTAGTTTCATTTCAAGAAATACATATCTCGAGAAAAGTTAACATTTGGCATGATGAATTGCTTGCATACTAAAGGCATATAATTTTACAGCATTTCCTTTCAAGCATAATATTGATTTTGAGTTGATCAGTCAGTTCCCCTCGCCCGCACATCCCAACCCTCTTACATTCTGCATTAACAGCTGTAAGTATTGTTATTAATATTCTATTTGATCTTCTTGGTTTTCCACATTCTACACTTACCACAAGAATAACCAGCAGCTATCGTAGAATGTGGTTTTCTTTGTTGCCAATCAAGACATAAGCATGGACCAAATGAGCTGCCTCCTTTATCCCCATCTCTTCCAGGCCATAGAACTAGACTTGGTACAGTTTCATATACTGCTGGGTACAAACAAACAAACAGTTTTATACACTGCTGGGTACAAACAAACAAACAGTTTCATACACTGCTGGGTACAAACAAACAGTTTTATACACTGCTGGGTACAAACAGTTTCATACACTGATGGGTACAAACAAACAAACAGTTTTATACACTGATGGGTACAAACAAACAAACAGTTTTATACACTGATGAGTACAAAACAAACAAACAGTTTCATACACTGCTGGGTACAAACAAACAAACAGTTTCATACACTGATGGGTACAAACAAACAAACAGTTTCATACACTGATGGGTACAAACAAACAAACAGTTTCATACACTGATGGGTACAAACAAACAAACAGTTTCATACACTGATGGGTACAAACAAACAAACAGTTTCATACACTGATGGGTACAAACAAACAAACAGTTTCATACACTGATGGGTACAAACAAACAAACAGTTTCATACACTGATGGGTACAAACAAACAAACAGTTGTATACACTGCTGGGTACAAACAAACAAACAGTTTTATACACTGATGAGTACAAACAAACAAACAGTTTCATACACTGCTGGGTACAAACAAACAAACAGTTTCATACACTGCTGGGTACAAACAAACAGTTTCATACACTGCTGGGTACAAACAAACAAACAGTTTCATACACTGCTGGGTACAAACAAACAGTTTCATACACTGCTGGGTACAAACAAACAAACAGTTTCATACACTGATGGGTACGAACAAACAAACAGTTTCATACACTGCTGGGTACAAACAAACAAACAGTTTCATACACTGATGGGTACAGACAAACAGTTTCATACACTGATGGGTACAAACAAACAAACAGTTTCATACACTGATGGGTACAAACAAACAGTTTCATACACTGATGGGTACAAACAAACAAACAGTTGTATACACTGCTGGGTACAAACAAACAAACAGTTTTATACACTGATGAGTACAAACAAACAAACAGTTTCATACACTGCTGGGTACAAACAAACAAACAGTTTCATACACTGCTGGGTACAAACAAACAGTTTCATACACTGCTGGGTACAAACAAACAAACAGTTTCATACACTGCTGGGTACAAACAAACAAACAGTTTCATACACTGCTGGGTACAAACAAACAAACAGTTTCATACACTGCTGGGTACAAACAAACAAACAGTTTCATACACTGCTGGGTACAAACAAACAAACAGTTTCATACACTGATGGGTACAAACAAACAAACAGTTTCATACACTGATGGGTACAGACAAACAGTTTCATACACTGATGGGTACAAACAAACAAACAGTTGTATACACTGATGGGTACAAACAAACAAACAGTTTTATACACTGCTGGGTACAAACAAACAAACAGTTTCATACACTGATGGGTACAAACAAACAGTTTCATACACTGATGGGTACAAACAAACAAACAGTTTCATACACTGCTGGGTACAAACAAACAAACAGTTTCTCAAAAGTTAATTGAAGACGTACATTGTCATCACAGTGTATTGTCCCCACCTATTCCTACACTCAATAGTATGAAATTTCCCTGCAGGCAATGAAATTCACTATAATAATTCATGTAAAAAAGGTGAAATGTAAAAATGAAAACAAAGGGATAGAAATTTAAGTATACCGGTAATCATTTTTCCTTTTTTTTAAAGTAAATTTGTGATGTACTTGAATATTGATAATTTTTTGTGCACAAAATATTTTGTGCATACATTAAAGAGAAGGATGAGTTCTGGGAAGAGGTGAAAAATAATTTGTGAGCGTTATCATTCTTATTATGCAAGTGTGGAAGAACATCACATGAGACATGTTCCCTGAAAAGCATGGCTCTTCAAATGCCTTCATTTTCTAAATATGTCATGTACATCGTAAAACTCGGGGGGTAGGTTTTTTACGCCACGTGTTCGTGTAGTCCCATATACATCTTTATGTGTACAGTGTTTGTAACTTTACCAAGACTTGGCCAATTTCTTATAATTTTGACGATTCCAGAACCTTGCAATACACACAAATTCTTATATGCTAGATGATCAACCTTTTCTGGTCGATTCCCCACCGTTTCTTTCACAATGCAATCGCATGACCAGAACTCAACTTCATCTTTAAGTTTGTATCAATATGCATTCCTCGTAGATAGAAGCCTGAGTATAAGCAACAAATTGAGATCCAAAGATGTGTGCACTATTGAGGGAAATGCAGTTAATATATCCACAAATTGAATATAATCACACAAAATTTGAGAGAAATTCCTTCTGTAGAACTAGGAGTACCTACCTTTGGGTAGTGGTTGAGATGATGATTGACCTTCAGGAGCTTCAGTAGGATGAGGTACACTATATATCAACACACAACCATCAGAGCATGCAGCTGCAAGGACACCAAGGCGATTATCCCATAGCTCTTCACTGGATTCCACAGTACAAGGATTGTCCCAGCACCCAGACGGACACCATTTCAGCGCATGAACATTTCCAGCATTGTGAACAATGCTAAACTTCAGATCAGGTTTTCCACTGTCACATAAGAAATATATACAAGTCTTAAATATAACTTGATGAAGCCAGCAAAGAAAACTGGCTCATAAATTAATTTGTAATTAATTGTTGAAATAGATGATGCCAATGTAGGCAAAAATGGTAGCATTGTTTTAATGTGACAATACAATTCAGTCTAAAGTCATTGTAGCGAAATGTAAATAATAGCACACACACCTTTGGTTGTGTAGTGGTCCAAATCCCCATATCTGAATCAAACTTGGACCAGTTTGACTCAGCAAAGCTTGAGGGACCTGGTAATTGCTGCAGTACGGGCTAAATGCAGCATATTGATCTGCACAGTCCTCACTTATTGGGACAGGGCACCATGCTACACTCCGCACAACTCCTCCAATATTAAATGCAAAGTGAGGCAGATTACCATCTGCACAAAAAAAATAGACAGACATGTATGAAACATATCTTTGTTAGAACCATTAATATTAATACATTTCTTTTATTTGATAGCTCGATCGAGACCCTGTGGTCACATTTGACTGAAGAGGTGATTTATCAAAATAGTAATTTCATTATGAGAGATTACTTCACAAATAATTATAATAATCATAATAAAAGAATTCATACTTTGAACAATGTACTACAAATCGTACAGCTAAAACATAACACTAATGCAGAAGTGTTGTGCATGTGTATGTTTGTATTTCTATTCTTTAATCATTTGCCCATGTTTTCTTCATTCCTTGGTCAGTCTATTACCACTTTGCTCAATATAAACATGATACACTATAAGTAAGTTGCAACTTAACTACTCTGTTGTGTAATCTTCTTGCACAGTACTGTAAGTACATACATCAACAGGGACAAACAGGCATTCAATATTACCTTCTTCATCCTGGATCTCAGTCGCACTGTATACTGGTAATGATGTCATACTTCCAACACTTGTCTGAATGTCCTTCTCTACATGTTGGTGAGATTGGATGTCCTTCTCTACATGCTGGTGAGATTGGTTCATCTTTACAAGACTCTCACAAGACATTGCAGCACTGATAAATAAAATGATAGGATGATGATGAATACTACTACTACTGCTACTACTAATGTTGTTATTAGTATTATTATCATTATCATTATCATTACTTTTATCCCCGATTCATTACAGAAAGAAAACAAATCCTTATCGTGTCCTTTAAATTTCATGGATTTGAAGAAAGAAAGCACACTGTTATGATGCTACATCACACTGTGAAACTCAAACAGGATTTGGTTTTAATATTGAGCATAACTTGTGGAGGTGTCATTTTTGAGTGATTTATACATTCTGTCCCTTCTCCTGCACCCTATAAAATTGTTTCCTAATGCTAGGAAAATGATTAAACAAGTTAATAATTAACTTCTGATATTAGGTTGGATTTTTAGAGATACGTGGCTTGTGATTTCAAAGATCACTCCCAGTTCCCTCCCATACTGAAAGGATAGTTTAACTAACTAACCACAGAGCTAGGATTTCAATTTCAATTTCAATGATGTATTTTGCACATTAATTGAATATTGCTTGACCATGGCCAGCAGTTTGATTGCAAAACACACAAAATTTCATTTTCTTTTGAGAAGGTAGCTTTTGGTGTAATTTAAAAAACAGATTTAATCCTACCACATATACAACTTAACTGCAATCCAATTTGGGAACATATAGAATTATCATTAGATACAGAAACTTTAAACATGTAAAATCATCCTACTTGAGGATCCTAATAGTCATGTGAATAGTAAAATCACAACTACAATATCAGACCTGATCAATTGGAAACCATAATGCCATCAGACAAGTCAGAAGACTGACTCCAATTTAAAACCAACTTTACACTTTCTCACACCGAGAGGACTATAATGCCTGGCAGTGTGAATACATATCAGTATGTATCAGTGTATATAAGCATCAGTCTGAAATTGAATGTTTATATCAGTATTTATCAGTATATATAAGCATCAGTCTGAAATATACTTCTTAATGAAATTTTCATATCTCATGATACTACAACTTCTTCCCAAATCAAATTGCTGTCAGATTGAGTAGAATGCAAAGGGGTATAAAAAAATGGACAAATATTAGAAGAAAATACCTTTTAGAAATGTGAGGCCATGTGGACACTGTACTCCTCAGATCATGAAATAATATTTCCTGCATTGAACACAGTCTCTCAAAGTGGCTGAAAATGAAAGAGAAAATAATGAATCTTGCATCATCTAAATGATTCATATTGGTCAGGCACAATTTACATGTACAAGTATTCAGTGTCTGAGATAATTTTGTGTACCAGTAAGCAATTTCATACAACTACATTCCTGACATCTACAACGTCCAAAATAATCTACCAACTCAGAAATTATCTAAATGTACAACCTGAAAGTTTCATTACCTGATACACTCTATGTTGCAGTTTTCATACCATGTGACAATAACTAAATATGTTTCCTAAGATAAGTTCCATGGGTTATTCCACATATGGTTATTTTACTGATATGAACACATCTTAAAATCATTTTCATGAAGGCAAGTTGTCTTCATGCATCAAAATGATACTTGTTGGGTGTAATGTATAAAAAGAACATCTGCTCCTTCACTGGGAAAGAGAGCTGGAATTGAGTAAACCAGAACCAAGCCACTATTGATATGATGTTTAACTTTGCAATCACTTTCTTTGTCCATTCATACTCCTGTAATATAAACATTAACTATTACCGTACAGGAGGCAAATATGTCTTGTGTATTCGCTGACATTATATCTATGACCTTTTACCTAGTGATCTTTGTATGTTGCTAATTGGTTCATCTTTGCATTTTAGAAGGAAAGAAATGAAGAAAATCTTTCAAACAAGTTCTACATGTCAAATTAAATCAAAACATCATCTCCTATATGCAACAGTTTTCCATTTAAATTTGCTCCATATCCACTGTATTTCTGTTTCTTTTGTTTTGTTTTTTCCTATCAGTTTCACTACTTATCGTTATCATTTCTAACTTTCCTGTTTCGCATTACACTATGACAGATATTTTGAATGTTTCTCAATAATCCTTTTCATTTTCATTATCGATCTATCAGATTCCATGTAGCCTTTAATTTTTGAGAAATTTGGCATTGGCACATTGATGTGTATGGGTAACAAAAAACAGAAACTACAGGGCATTTCTGATTCAAATTATGGGAATCTACATTATATTAATATTATTATCATTATTTTTTTTTTTTTTTTTTTTTTTTTTTTTAATGATCAAACAAATATATTTGGTGCAAAAATTATGTACATATAACTCATCCTGTCCAATAAAATGCTGGAAACAAAGACGGAACAAAATTTGAAACAAAGTTATTTATTCCCATTACCAAAGATCCAGAGTTCTTCATGAAAATTTTGTGATAATTATATCAACTGTGAAGGTGCAACACTATAGTAACAATTTCAAAAATGTCCTTTCGTAGGTTAGTCTATCTAAGTAACAGATTCAAGTTTAAATTCTAGTCCCTACACTGTATCATATCAAAATGATCTTTAATGTGAATATGCCCATACACTGTTTACTTACCGGTCATATGACATCTTATTAAATGTCTCAAGATCTGAAAATACAAGAAAAGGAATCCAAATCTAAATTAAAATTGAAATTGAAATAAGATATTGTTCATTTGTTAACAAAAAATTGAGTGGTGTAAATTTAACAAATGAATTTACAAATAGAAATAATCAGAGGCAGTTACAATTGGTAAAACTTACAGTGCAAAAGAGAATCTTAATAACTGATAAATGATAATAAATGATAACTAATTTCACATGAAGATGAGCGATAGAAAGAGGTAAACAGAGCAAGAAAGTGTCCAAAGGAAGGCAGAGGGGGTGTGTAGAGCACAAAAAGACCAGTCTTACAACTAATACTGGTACATTCAAGCGATATGTACTTCTACAAAGCAAAAGACAAATGTTGAAGAAGAAAAAAATTGATCAAAATAATCACTTGACAAAAATGAGAATAAAAGAAAAAAGATTCCGTCACAAATATCTGATAGCTTGGAATTTTCCTTGCCATATAATTACCATCACATCCCTTTTATTTGTCAAGGTGTCAAAGTAAAGAAAATATTACAGGCTACATTGTGAGTATCTTAGACTTAGTCTGTATGTACTGAGTGCAAAGATATTTAGGGCTGAATCTGAGTTCCCTTTTTGTGAATCATACTGTAATACAAAATGAATATTATGATTCATCAAGTTGAGAATTATCGTTGATGTTATAAATCAATTACTAGAAGTACAATTGCTCCATGACATTTGGCCATAAGAAGCTAGTAGGAACTCGTGAAATGTCACAGAGTAAATGAAAATACTTCCAGTAATTGATTTACATCACCAACATACAAATGCTTTTACTCAAGACACTATTTGAAAAAATAAAATATTTTGTCTCATCGACTGAAATAATAAGGATTACTCCTTTACTGCAACCCTCAGTGAGCATGGTACTTTGCCACATCATTTAACAACTTTTCTAGGGCCTGCAAGATGGATTATCTGTTCAATATTCCATAACTCACCATATTTATTGATTTTTAACTGGACCTTGCCTTCCCTCCTACGAACAGATGAATCATCAATTTCTTTATATTCCTCCTCATCATTGTCAGACTCACAATCCTCTGGAATAAAGACATCTTGTCTCTTTTCTCTCTGACGTTCCTTCAAGCATGACAAATACATTGATAGAACATTTTTTTAGACTGTTGAATTGTAATGAATAGAATATGAAACGAAAAAAGGGACAAATTTAACATGAAATAATTATCTGAATAAAACCTATCATTTCATATTTTATGCCTACTAAGGGTAAAGATTTATTGAATTTACAATAGATGACATGAAGTTAAATTCTTTGTTGAGTACAGCCGATTCCCTATAAAGATCAAGAGCAGGAGATGCAGAAGAAAGTAACACAATACATGATAACACCATGCACTGCCAAGAGTTGAAACGGACAGACAACTAGCCTGATGCTGTACAGACAGTGAGACATCCTTCCCTAAAACTTACCAAAATCGAGTCAGCACATCACACATTAGTCAATGTATATTGTGCAGATCATCAAATTATCAATTTTATCTATCTGCTTATTTATCAATATTCACACTTACTTTCAAAGACCCTTTTTTTGTTACTCGCTCCGTAGAATCAATAATTGCATCTCTCAAAAGCTTCACCTGAGCCATTGCCCTGTATAGAGAGGTGCATAAATCAAATCAAATTAAATTAAAGGTAAAATGAGACAATTGGCTGTGGCAGGTCAGCTGACTATAACATACAAGAGACCAACAGATAGGCAGTATCATTGGCCTGCTGAAAATGTTTAATGTAAAGCCTACTAGAACAACCATTCTTTGTGTGTCCTTTTCTTAATTCTTCTTCTATATTTGCCCCAATACATTTCTTTACTTTACCACGGTTGAAACCATTAAAGGCTGCTTAAAGGCGATTATAAAATGCATTATCTATCAAATGATCATCTGACTATTATTTCTAGAGCTCAAGATGAGAAGCAGTCAGTTAACATGTAGAATTATCTGATATTAAATCAAAGTAGTGTCAATATTTATCTATCATGACTACTATCCTTCTCGAATGATTGTTTTAAAACTAACTTTACATGTACCGGCATGTAGTTTAGGGTACCAAGTTACACTGTAAGAAACTGAAAAAATAAGATATTTAAAAAAACACCCTCATGAAGTTGAAAGAGTTCCCTTTTTTCACACCACTATGAGTCATTTTTATGCTACTAATGTGACTTTATCAGACATTTGATTTAAACATTTAAAAATTTAAAAAACTGATTTAAAATGTATACAGGCTGGAAATGATTTTGTTTCCTGAAAACATGTCATCAATTATATATACATGTACACATGTTGAAATTTTATAACATACATGTATATGCGTGTGTCTAGTTTTTAACTTCTGCTCTTGACTGCATAGACTATATAAAGATTATATGATGGCTTCTTATATGACCATCATGCTCTGATGCTCATGGTGCTTTGAAATCATTCTCACAATTACAGCTGAGCCACAACATTTATTTACACATAGTGGCACATACTACGTAGATTTAAATGTCTTGCCCAAACCACAGGATATAAGTGCCTGGCTGAGGTTTAAAACTCCATACCTTGTGACCTACAGTTTTGTGACTTACCCACTCCTTTAATCTCAATGATACAATAGATTTCACAGAAGAAAAAGATCAAAAATCATATGGCTTAAGACATGTAAAAAGCAATAGGCTACTGATGGTCCAAAAGCACCCAAGACTCACTTCTGAGCAGCTTTGCGTTGACCACGTCCTCCAACATCCTCTTGCTGCTCTGGCTCTGGCACAGCTTCAGGCCGCTCATGAATTGATTTCTGATGGAGCCTCAACCCAGCTTTGCTGAGGTAAACCTATGCAATGGATAAATTAGGTTCATATACCATTAGAATACAAAAGTAATTCATGAACATTAATAATCTGGATTTTAAAAGCACGTAATACAAGATACCCTCTCTATTAATGGGGCTCTAGGGAGTATTTCTGTGATATGGTCATCAAAAAGGCTTTCATCATCCTACCAGTTATCCATTTCTCTCCTGGGTATGGAGTGGCAAATGTAGATTAATGCCTTTCCAAAAGACATTACGGCCATATCGGGATCGAACCTTTGACCTTTGCATTCCAAGTCAAGTACTTAAACCACTTGACAAAGACACCTCTAAATCTCAAAGGTTATGCAGAGTGGTAGTCAGATATCTAGAGGATAATCATTGTATTAGAAATGGGTCGTGTTAAAACATATAAATCAATAGACATACAGATAACCTCGCGTGAGTCGATCTCGGCAAGACTAAGTGAAATACGTTGACTTAGGCAATCTTCAACTTGTGCGTAAGTCGTAGAAATTCTACTTACCAATATACACTGCATAGGCTTATATAAATGCACTTCATTGTGTAAATCCATGCATACAAAATTCCTTTATCTGTGTGTGTGTTGTGTGTACATTGCCGGTAATGGCGCATATAACATGCTAAAGCATGAGTCCAAGATAAACAATGGGAATCTAGCAGCACGAGAACCAAGAAGAGAGAGAGAGAGAGAGCTACATGCTACATGTACATGTAGATCCTACAATATACATTTATTTTTTAATGAATGAAACAAAACCATCAATGTGGACTTGAAAAAGATGGACTTGTTTAAATATATATTTAAAAATAATCATGAAAAAGGAAAGTCTAATGAGTCAATAAATTTTGGCCATGTATACTGAATTTTGATAATCAAAGAAAAATTTCACAATAACTGTGGTAGTGGTCGTAAATCTCTATCCAAATTCCAATCCACTTTGGATTGAAAAGTTTATTGCAGCATTCAAAACCAGAAGATGTAAATTTAGTGTTTCCCATTGGAACGGTCCTGGGAATTTGATCAACTTGGGCTAATAAATCGACTTACAAGATTCTTGTAAGTAATACAAAGATTTAACACACATTAGTCTATGATGAAAATTGGGACTTTTTATTCTCATCGACATGTTCAACATGTATACAAGGTTGACTGTACGTGTACGGTGAACTTGAATGACATTACAAGCTCAAGACAGAGTTGCTTTCCAATATAAAATTAGCTTCATACTTGCTCATTTAACAGTAATTGAAACATTCAAAACTATCCTACATCTTCGCTTTTGAAGTTGAATGTGTACCTCAAATCAAAATAGTATTATACATGTTATATAAATGTTATGAAAATGAGGTATGACTTTTCACTAAGATTTTGTTTAAATGACAAGAAATACTTTCATGGTACTTTGGATCAAAGATTGAGTGAAAATAAAGGCAAGTAGGACTGGGACTAATGATAGCCTGTAAATATTCTTACCTTTTCAGGACATAGAGGGCAGTAGAATTTCTTTGTATCTTCAGGACTGACTCCGCATCTTTCCAGATGGTATTCATATCCATACCTGTTCACAAATTTTCTTGCACACCCAGGCTTTGGGCATTTGATGTGTCCCTTGGCCTTCAAGATGGCAGAAATATTTTGGCCTTGTGTTGCCTTATCATCTTCACCGTCTTTTGAGAAGTGCGCCTCTGCTAAAGATTTAAGACAAACATTTTTTTTATTTATTTATTAATTTATTTATTGTGGTATAAAAAAACATTGTACATGGCAGCCTTTCGGCTGAATTGAGTGCAATTTACATAAGTAATAACACAAGGATACTGCACAAAATACAATAGTATTACAAAGTCATTAAAAATAGTACATTCATAACAAACAATTATAGGTACACCTTAGATCAAAGAATATTGATGGTGGGATAACAGAAGTGGGTAATGGATGTGGAAAAATAAGTGTTTTATGATATGACTTGAGAAAATTCATAGGAAGAATATAATAGTTGAATAAATTATGATCAGTGCAAAGAAAAATTATCTGTTTTGCATGCTTCAAAGTAGGCCTATAATGTCATGTGAGCAAGGTACATGTATATGGAGAACAAAATGGACATCTAATTCACCTAAGACGAATGGAGAAATTATAGTTTCACTTCCTATTATTGGCTAATAGAGAATATGGTTGGTAATGCCATATTGAAATTAGTATAATCCGTATAAACAAAACATGTACCTTCAGTAAACAATATAATTTTTCATTCAAGCACATCTATAAGATAACAATTTGATTTACGTAAATGCTTAGCATTAAGAACAAAAGATCTGTCTTTACATTATTCCAGTTTTGAATTGAGTAACCTCACAATGAAGGGGAGTGCGCTCTTTCTGTAGCGCTCATTTTTGCATTTTATTTCTGAATAGTCTTCAGCGTTGCGCAGGTTGCGGGAAGTGCGGGAAGCTCGCGTAGTGGGGAGCCAGTGATAGAAGGGGGACGTTTCCTTTGTGAGGTTACTCGCAAATTTCTTTGTTAACCTTTCCCTCCTCTCCTCCAGTGTGGGAAGGTCAAGAACATTGAGGGCATCATCATAACTCGTGTATCTTTGGCCAAGCATGAGGCGACACGCTCGTTTCTGAATTCTCTCTATCAGTTTCTTGTCTGCCCGAGTCAGACCTGAATGCCACACAGGTGCGCAGTATTCGACTTTCGGGCGCACGTACGAACAATACACAACTTTCAAATCGTCAACAGGTAGCCGAAAACCTTTCAAGATACGCATTATGTGTAGCCTCATGCTTGCCGCCTTGACCGTTTCTGTGACATGATATGACCATTTTAAGTCTTCCTGTACAAACACACCCAAAAGTTTAACTAGTTGTACTTCACTTATTTCCAGGTCACCAATTTTTACCTTTGGGACGATTGCCTGGTTTCTCATGAACTGAATGTTCATGACGACACATTTGCTAGGGTTCAGTTTCATGCTATTGTCTTTGGTCCATTTCTCAAGTTTATTTATCACTTCTTGGATTTTGGGTTGATCCGTTGCCTTCCTACATTCGAGTAGGGAGAGGTCGTCGACGTATTTCCAACACTGAACATCACTGTCCTTGAACACGTCGTTGATGATGCAGAGAAAGATAAGCGGCCCAAGTCGAGTGCCCTGTGGGGCACCTGCTGAGATCTCCATCCACTCAGAGAGCTGTGACATGTAGCGCACACATTGTTCTCGATTGGAAAGAAAGCTGGAAATCCATGCCACCAAAGACGGGGATGCCCCCATTTCGAGTAGTTTCCTAACCGCTAGTCCATGATCTATCCTGTCGAAAGCTTTGCTGAAATCTGTAGCCACCAGTGTTGTGACCGTTTTCGGATTTTCGGCATTCCGATGGATGGTATTTAGTATATCTATCAGATAATGTGCAGTCGAGTAGCCCTTCCTATTGCCGTACTGCGACTTGTCAATCGCAGATCCAATGTCACCCACCGGCCATTTTGAGATGAATTTCTCCAGGATCTTTGCGAAATGATCTGTGAGCGATATCGGTCTCAAGTCTCCTATGGTGGGTTTGGAGGTCTTGGGGATAGGTACCACAATTGCACGTTTCCAACAGTGTGGCACCACCGATTCTCTGATAGATCCATTGAAAATGGCCGTAAGAGGGCTACTCAGTTCTAACGCAAATTCGGAAATGATCCAAGCTGGGATGCTATCTGGACCGGGAGCTTTCCGTCTGTTAAGATGTTGCAATTCCCAGTAGACATCCCAAGGTTTAATAACAGGCAGCGGCAGAGCAGGGAGATAGGTTGGGAGATCAGTCAGATCGAGTCTACCGATGTCTTCAGCTATGCTGACGAAGAACCTGTTGATCGTGTTAGCAATACCAGCGAGGTCTGACTCGTCGATCCCTTCGACCTCAATGGCAGGTGGTCTGGGCTTATTTCCTGCCATTGATTTGATGTTCTTGTGCCACCGAGATGGATTGCTCTCCTTCATCTTACGCACGCGTCCGACATAGAACTCAGATTTTGCCCCTTTGATTAGTTTATTTACTTTGTTCGTCAGTCCCTTCCATTTGTTCGAACCTTCAGTGAAAGCCTGCTGACGTGCACCAATAAGGGCTTTGATCTTAGGGGAAATCCATGGTTTGTCATTGTCGTGGCATTTGACAACAACTAAGGGGAAATACTCATCAATCAATGGCAGAAGTGTGGAATAGAACGTATCGCACTTGTCGTTCGTGTTCTCGGCTTGATAAACTGGAGACCAATCATAGTTCTGGAGAATCTGTCCAAATTCGCGAATAGCACTGTCTTTGATTGGTCTTGCAATCCGAGTTCTTGTGCGATTGGGCTTCGGTGAGTATTGGGTAGGGATCCAGGAAACCGCAAGGTGGTCGCTGGAGCCCAATGGGGGTAAAGTTGTTGGGGAATTATAGTAGACAGACATATTGGTGACTATCTTGTCCAGAATCTGGTCACCTCTTGTTGGCACACTGACAACTTGTCGGAACCCCCTGTTTGCGGTTAGCGTCAAAATGTCTAACTCATTGTAGTCCCCCAACAAGATGAAACCCGTCTCTGGATGTGTAGATGCAATGGCGTCCATCGAGTGCAGCAAATGGTCGATCAGGGTGTCAGCAGTCGCGGCATTAGGAGGATGATATATTGCCGCAACCACCACCATGGAAACAGAGCGGGGAAGTCTTTGTGGCTGGAGCTTGATCCACACAACCTCAAGGTCATCAGGGACAGTGACACTTGTCATTGACAATCTTCAGTGACACTGGCATGGTATGGTATGTGTGGGATATGTGTTATGCTATTATGCGATGTATTTTAGAGGGATTTTACCTTGCATCCAACCAATCGGCCGAAAACTGGAGCTGGCCGATTACCGGCTCCTTTACTCTAGTAGTACGATAATACTCTGTAAAGAGGTCTGTACTCAAAATGGAAGAAGAAGAAGAAGAAGAATTTGCGCTTAAGATAGTAAAACAAAGATGCTCAACGAAGATTAGGCAAGATGCATTCAGCCAACTTGTCATCAATGACTGGAACACACTTCCTGAAGAAGTAGTCACTGCTACCACGGTGAATGCCTTTAAAGCCAGACTGGATCGAGTATGGAAGGACAAGCGTTTCTGCTCCCCAAATGAGTAGAATACCCGAAGCAGAACTGAGCCAGACAAACTAAACGAGAAGACACCCAACTATGAGAAGGAAGAAAATGAAATTGAACTGGAAGCCCGACTGCTGAGAACACAGCATTCTTCCAGAATCTCGGGTAAAAAAAAAAAAAGGTACAAGGTAAAAGTAAAGTAGGCTGTTCCTCTCGCACTTAAATTCGAAGCCACTCAAGGATCTGAGACATTACAGTAGTCTAGATAACTTCACACAGGCGCGCGCCCGCCTGCAACTCACCGTCGGTATTGTATTGTGCAGCGGTTTGCCGTGAAACTTGAGAAAAAGTCTATTAATATCATTGTTTTTCCGAAAAAAACTCCAAAAATAACAAGAAAATTGACACGAAATAGACTAGGTAATAAACATAGGTCTAGATCTAGGCCTAAAACTAATGACTTTTAACTCATCATTGGACATTTAATGAATATTTACTTCATTTTGGGTATGTTTTAGTAGGGTATCTCCACTTACGGGTCAAACTTTGGATACCTTTCTGAACAAGCGCCGCGCAATGCACATAGACTGCATAGGGATGGGTGCAATCTCTATGGGAAGGATTTTAGCACACAACCTCGTTTAGCACACCCTATTAGTAGGGTTTCTCCACGCCGGAGTTAGGGGGCAAACTAGAGTCAGTAGGCACACAAACTTCGCGCTGGTGAATCCGCCTCGTAAGGTCAGACGAAAGTACATTTATCTCTAGATTTTTAGACATATCTAACTGTATATCTTTGCTTAATTGCAGAATACATACCAGTCCCTCTTCCACGACCACGACCACGTCCACGTCCGCGTCCGCGTCCACGACCACGTCCAGGGCGCCGGGAGGTCATGATTGATAATTGATTGATTATTACTATGGAGCACCAAGTGTAGAATTAAAATTAAACAATACAAGAACCTGCATTTGCATACAACAGCATGGCAAAACCCCAGTGCATGTGGAAAATGGGCAATCCGCCACCATCCGCCCTCAATTTCTGCAAGATCTGACTAAATACATCTAACTAGGACATGTACATGTACAGGATGTACAGGTGTATACTTCTTTTTTTTTTAAATGACAATATATGACAATAATGATAATAAAGAAATATAGGAATAAATGAAGAAATGAAGAAATAAATAAATGATAAGAGGTGAGAGAGAGCTAGGGAGATATGAAGGAAAAGGAACAAGAACGTGGGATGATAACAATTAGAAGATGATTTCACAAAATTGTCTTAAAAGATTCAGTATCATGGTACATGGGGCCGGGACTTAAGAATAACTTGTAAGCCTGGGTGCATTGAACGATTGTCGAAAAAATATGCTTTGGAGTGATCCGATCTTCGTCCTTGATGTTGTATGTATCAGTGGCGGATCCAGGCCCCCCCCCCCCCTCCCCTGGGGAAAAAAAGGAGGGAAAAAAAGAGGAAAGATTTTTTTTCTTTTTTTTCTAATTTTCCAATTTCCGTGGCCAGAACAAAAAAGTGCTCCCCCCCCCCCCCCCCCCCATAACGGTGGTTTACACATAATGCTGAAATGACATAATTTTCCGAGATTTTTCCTCATTTTTTAGTACATTATACTTTTTTATGCGTTTGATGTAAAATGATAAATTCCTGAATTTACAGCCAGGCAGATATGCTTCCTGAGATTCCTACATATGTCAGGGCCCGCGAAACGGCGGGGATCGGGAGCCTCCAGCCTCCCCCCCCCCCCCCCCCCCACCACACTTTTTTTTAAAGTACATTAAAGAGAAATAGAAAGAAAGAGAGCAAGAAAGAAAGAATAGTTAATTGCCAGTGACACAACAAAATATGCTCATCTGACCATAATTAAACGCCTAATACCCCTGAGCTTCAGAGGCCCTGCCCCCTGGACCCAACCAAGGTCCCTAAGGCGAACCCCTTGATACTCATCTGACCGTAATTTAGTGCCTAAAACTCTTGAGCTTCTGGGGGCTCCACCCGCAGGACCTCACGCCAATCAGTGTCCTGCCAGTGTCACAAAAAAGGTATAAAAATATGTTCATCTGTCTGACCGTAATCAAATGCCTAAAACTTCTGAGATGCCGGGGTTTCCGCACCCTAGCGCTCCACCCCACTAGGGGCCTTAAGGCGGGCCCCTGGATGCTTATCTGACCGTAAATTATTGCCTTAAACCCCTAAGTTTCCGTGGGCGGACAAGGTATCAGAATATGTTCATCTGACCGCAGCCGCGTAGCCGGGGGGGGGCGGTGGGGCCCCTCCCCCCCCAACAACAACAAAAACGCCGGCCCAAAAAAAAGAGAGGAAAGAAAAGGAAAAGGACGTAGGAAGAAAAAGGAGCAAATACATTTTTTAAAATCAGATAAGGATTAAGAGTCGGGAACGGTACTGGGTACAACGAATTGTCTTCTTTCTTTAATAACTTAATGAAACGTCAAAGCTTCCGCGCTTCGCGCAGGCGGGGGGGGAAACTGAATTCAGTCGAGGATTAAGAGTCGAGAATGGTACAACAAATCGTCATCATTCTCTAAGAATTTAATGAAACGTCAAAGCTTCCGCGCTTCGCGCAGGAGGGGGGGGGGCTGAATTCAGACAAGGATTAAGAGTCGAGAATGGTAATACGAATCGTCTTCTTTTCTAATAACTTAATGAAACGTCAAAGCTTTCACGCTTTACGCGGGAGGGGGAAACTGAATTCAGACAAGGATTTAGAGTCGAGAACGGTATCAAAATATGTTCAACTGACCGCAGCCGCGTAGCCAGGGGGCGGTGGGGCCCCTCCCCCCCCCCCCCAAAAAAAAAAAAAAACAAACAAACAAACGCCGGCCAAAAAATGAGAGGAAAGAAAAGGAAAAGGACGTAGGAAGAAAAAAGAGCAGACAAAATACATTTTTGAAAATCAGATAAGGATTAAGAGTCGAGAACGGTACTGGGTACAACGAATTGTCTTTTTTGAAACTCTAAGCGAATAAATGTCCCTTAATTTGTTACCTACGGCAAGTATATGTTATTTTTAAGTTTTTCAATTACTTAGTATATCACAAAAAAATTCTGTCTACTCGAAATCCTCAATTGAAATGTCTAAAATATCCGCCTCTCTTTGCATAGAAAATCAGTCACGGCGCTGGTCTACTATTTATGACCTCACGTCCGGGAGAGAGTATATTCACGTACCCGGATGTTCCATAGCAAACATGTGCAGAGTGATACGATTTTCTGCATATTTTTGTTTCAAAGGCTGAAAAGTCTAATAAATCATAATTCTATGTACAATTCTTTACCTTCCCCTAGTACTTCATAGTATTAATATCAATTCCCCTTTTAAAAATTATGACATATACATGCCAACGATGTGCTATTAGTCGATATTTTCACCATGTAATTTTTGTTTTGGTGTTGAAATCGGCCCAGGCACGGAGTGAACAGTAGCTGTCTACCCATGCACAGTTCATTACCATACACTACAGCGATCTCCCGATGGTTTCTTCTTCCTTTTTCCCATGTCTTTCGCCTTCCTTGGCGCTGAACATCCTTCATCTACCAATTCTGACACCGGTAGTCAGGAGCAAGTCTTTGTTAGTTGTTTTTCTTAGCTGGCAACGTCGCTTTCATTCTCTTGCAATTGCCGATAAACATATAACTAGCGCACATGCACGTACGTTCCATCACAAGCAAGCAGCGCCTAGAGCAGCGGCTTGGTCTTACCTCCCGATTCTGCTCGCTTCACGAACGTTCATGCAAGAGCCGCATCACTCGCCAAAATATTATAGAGGAAGCGCGCTTGCATGATCTCGTTCAAGTTTGATATTTTACAACATAAAATATGTTTAACTGGTACTGTATCCTTTTTTGAGGCAGTCACACACATCTATGATAAGTACTATCATAGTTCTAGACCTATTCGTTTTACAAAACTGCTCATGTACATCTGATGACAATATAATGCATCCGCCTATTCATAAGTGCACGATTTAACTTTAATTCCTAAGCAGTAAACTCGTCTTAAATCTCTACCAAATAGGTGAATATGAGGATATAAAAGAAATCAGCGACTGGAAAATGTTGCTTCATTATTCTTCATTCAAATGAAAACAGAAAATCCATCAAATATACTCCTTAACAACAACAAATCTAAGCTCTGACAGGATAGCATTTACGTAGGGATATCACTGCCATTCACTCTCACTGAGCCCATGACTCCCGTTCGTGACGTCACGGATAGAGGCCCGACTCTACGTGCACTTCCGGGTTTCAGACTTAGATATTTTGGTAGAGTTTACTCGAATAAATTCATTATTCTAAACTTGTTTTGTCGGGTGGACACCATTTGGTGTTATTATGGGGGTTAAAAGCTTTCTATTTATGTAATTATCTCAGTATTTGGGATTGTCTTAGAGTATCAACTTTAATAACTTAATGAAACGTCAAAGCTTCCGCGCTTCGCGCAGGAGGGGGGGGCTGAATTCAGACAAGGATTAAGAGTTGAGAATGGTACAACAAATCGTCTTCATTCTCTAAGAATTTAATGAAACGTCAAAGCTTCCGCGCTTCGCGCAGGAGGGGGGGGGGGGCTAAATTCAGACAAGGATTAAGAGTTGAGAATGGTAATACGAATCGTCTTCTTTTCTAATAACTTAATGAAACGTCAAAGCTTTCACGCTTCGCGCGGGAGGGGGGGGGGGACTGAATTCAGACAAGGATTAAGAGTCGAGAACGGTACAACGAATCGTCTTTTTTCTCTAATAATTTAACGAAACGTCAAAGCTTCCACGCTTCACGCAAAGTGGGGGGGGGTGAGGGGCTGAACTTAGACAAGGATTTAGAGTCGAGAATGGTAATACGAATCGTCTACTTTCTCTAATGATTTAATGAAACGTAAAAGCTTCCGCGCTTTACACGGGAGGGGGAAACTGAATTCAGACAAGGATTAAGAGTCGAGAACGGTATCAAAATATGTTCATCTGACCGCAGCCGCGTAGCCAGGGGGCGGTGGGGCCCCTCCCCCCCCCCCACAAAAAAAACGCCGGCCAAAAAAAGAAAGGAAAGAAAAGGAAAAGGACGTAGGAAGAAAAAGGAGCAGACAATCAAAGCTTCCGCGCTTCGCGCAGGAGGGGGGGGCTGAATTCAGACAAGGATTAAGAGTCGAGAATGGTAATACGAATCGTCTTCTTTTCTAATAATTTAATAAAACGTCAAAGCTTTCACGCTTCGCGCGGGAGGGGGAAACTGAATTCAGACAAGGATTAAGAGTCGAGAACGGTACAACGAATTGTCTTTTTCTCTAATAATTTAATGAAACGTCAAAGCTTCCACGCTTCACGCAAAGGGGGGGGTGGGGCTGAATTTAGACAAGAATTTAGAGTCGAGAATGGTAATACGAATCGTCTTCTTTCTTTAATGATTTAATGAAACGTAAAAGCTTCCGCGGTTTGCGCGGGATTGGGAAAAATGTATTCCGACGAGGATTATTTTCGAGAACGGTACAACGAATCGTCTTCTTTCCGTAATGATTTATTGAAACGTAAAAGCTTTCGCGCTTCGAGCGGGAGGTGGGGGGTGGACGGAATTCAGATGCGGATTAAGAGTCTAGAACGGTACAACGAATTGTCTTCTTTCTCTAATGATTTAATGATACGTCAAAGCTTCGGCGCTTTGCGGAGGAGGGAGGGGGAAATCGCCCCTCCCTGCACACCCCCTCCCATTACGTGAATGCTGGTCACCATTGCGTATTAATATTTGGCTCGCGTAATTTCAAATTTGGGCCCCCCCCCCCCACCCCCTAAGAAATCCTGGATCCGCGCCTGAATTGAATGACTTAATTTGTCAAAATTTAGCGGGAGAACTTGTACATTTATGCCATTTTAAATGAAAATTCCAACCCTATTTTCAAATATATTTTCAAATATAT